CGCCCGAGCCAGCTGCGGAAGAGCTTTACCCACACCTGCTGGCGGCTATTGATTAGCAGGCAGCAGCGGCAGTGCCGGCACTGCTGCCAGACAAGAACTATATTCTTACAAACCACTGATGGGCTAAACAAGCTATTAATGACAGGTTGCTCTTCATCATTTAAAACGGCCAGAGTCTGCTGCTTGACCACAAGGACAAGCAGGTTATTGCTTTGAAATGTTACACAAAGACACAAATGAGATACCTCTACAGAATAAACCACACGTATGGCTCCACGGTTCTTTTTTAGTATAGCTATTAATAGAAAACAGGGCCTGTTTGGAGTGGCAAATATTTAATCTTCTATCCTGAGGTTGCTACAGTTTCTCAAAATCCATAGTCAGAACAGGAATTAGCTAAATATAATTCTAACAATAACCACAACTTTTGTAATACACAATATATTTTCCCCATTAAAATCTATGTTTCATTCTCCTTTTTTAACTAGCTAAAAAAAATGCTTCTGAGCAGATTCAGCTATTTGTGGTCACAGGGGAGTACAATTTCGACCTGCTTCTCCAGCCGGACCAACAGGCTGGACAGGCCCTCTCTTCGTGCCAGGTCACTCGGGAGGGACAGCTCTAACCTGCGCGCTTAAACCTTGACGCTGAGAAAGAGCCACAGGAACGGTGTGTGAAGTTCTCCACTCTGTGAAGCAAATACTTTTGCTCATTAGAGCACCCATTTTTAGCCGGAAAAGTAATTCTAAATTATAACTTGTAAAATATTTATAACTTTTTCAAAGGTATTACTTTATTTAATTTCGTCATGTATGTAACGGGATGCTAGATACAATGATAGCAGATGCTACTTATACAACATACTTAAACAAGTACTAAAACAGGCTGCAACCATGTGAATGGTATAGGCACTCAGATAATAGTAATGAAAACACACAGAGCAGGTAAAGATTGTATCACAGATTGTAAAACATCCTTCATAGATACACATACATCTCTCTCAAAGATTTAACACACAGATTATTTGATCCATATAAAGACTCTCCTCTTTTCATTCTCAACTTTGGCTTAAGAGTGGCTTAACTCTTCTGAGGAATAACCCTACAATTTATTGGGAATTTAAAAGGTCTTTGTGAACTTGTCTGACATAACATTGAGTTATAACACAGTTTCCGGCATGAATACTCCCATCCGCATTTGGAGCACCCTTCCCTGGAGAGATGTTCTAAGATCACAGCGAAAAGGAGAAAAGGCTCAAGAACCTGGAGGGTTCTGACAGATCCTTCACAGAAATATGAGGCAACTTGTGTATTTAATGAAGATAAAGTTTTATTCAAACATAGCAAGTCATCCTGCCAAAGAGCTTCAGGTATGGTCACTCTACAGAGTGCCCTTCCCGAAATCCCAACAAAACTCTCAGCACCAGTGAATGAAATTCCTGGTGCCCCACCTCCATCCCTGCCAGAAGCAACTCAAAACCAGAGTGCCTCTTCCTTCCAAACCCGCTGCTTCGAGGTGACATTATAAATCAGACCTGCAGCTCCAGCTATCGCAGCACTCCCAATTTAGAAAAAGTACCAGTCACGGTCATCTGTCAAGACTACAGCATCTTTATAATGCATTAGAAACATTCCCTGAACCCATCAGATTACAACAGCCTGACACCAGCAGAGGAATGAAACATTTTAAAAATTTATTTAAGAGATTCAACTAGCATGCAAGATACCTATGAAACTAGCAAACAAGATTAATTTTCAAACTGCTCTAAGTACTATTCATGACACTCAGCTATTTATTCCATTTACAGATTCAAAATATTAGTTGCAATGGAACATTTAATATGCCACCATTATAAAAGGGAAACTGTTGACAACTATGCCAAAATATACGTCCTTTTCTTCCTGCTGTTACTCCAAGATATTGGTACGCAAGCTCCTACAAATAATGTTTTCTAAACGATTCCCAAAATGGAAAGCAACAATGAAAAGCAATTTTTAAAAATCCACATGCAATAGACAGTGATAAAATTTTATTTTAATAGCTGTATAGAACAGTTTCTATTTAGATGTCATATGAAAAATTAAACATGAATTTAAACATTCCTCATGATATACGGAGAGAAGTATACATACCATTAGCTGTGACTATTTTGATTTAATGGGATTTAACAATCTGTTCTGATGAACTACTTAGTGTTCTGATGATCGCTGGTACTAACATTCGAAGCTCAATGAGTTTCAGACTTGTGACAATATTGTGTTTTTTTCTAGTTTTGATCAACTGATTAGTTTTTAATGCTAAGTATGTCTTGCTATCACTTGCAGTTGGAATATGTTTACTTAAACCAAAAATATTTTGCATCTCAATTATTATTTTATATTGCAGCACTGAATGAAATTTAAGTCAATACATTATTCATAAAGCACAGACAACAGAAAAAAAACAAAGCTGTGCACTTCTTTCAAAGACTTCAAATTACTAAAACATACCATATTTATGCATGCAATATTTGCTTGTGTGTGTGTGTGTGTGTGTGTGTGTGTTTTTTATCGCAAGTTTGTTGTTTTCAGATCAGGATATGCCAAAAATCCAACACCAAACAATTTTTGTTTATAACTAAGGCAATCATCAATCCAAGGATTGTAGTCCATTTTATTTCATCTCTACATCAAAAAAAGTAATTTAAAAAAATTAAAATTCCCTTGAAATGGTAAGATAAATGAAAATGTAAGTGCCTTCACATAATAACAGTAAGCTGACCCTCTGGGAAATGGTTGACTTTCTCAATTCAAGGTATTCAAAGCTCATTCAAAAGTGTTCATTTGGAATGCAGATATCAAAGATGATGCAAATGTTCAAGAGAAAATTAAAACTTACCAGATGTTCTAATCCAGCTTTGATGTTTCCAGAGTCCCTGTAACAGAAGAACAAAAGTTTTAAATAGTTGCTAAACCCTTGTCTACAATGATTTGTTTCTCAGAAATGTCAAAACCATGTAATTTCTTGAGCATGTAATATTTTTACTTTCTATTCCTTAACCATAACAACATTTAAAGAGCATCCATCATCCAAATGGACGGAATTACTGCAGAATTGCTTAGAGCCTCAGATTTTACCTCCCTTACAATTGCTATAAACTTCAGTAATGCCACAAGACATTCATTTCAAAAATACTTTTATATAATTATCCCACTACTTCATACTGAAATTAATAAAACAAATATCATCGTGCACTGCCTTCTCAAATCCACATGCAATGACTTTACGGCCCAGCTTTGCCACTGCTTCAATAATAAACTTTGCAAATGTTTACAAAGGTGATTCAATCAATGAATTGTATATTAATTAAGTAGGTCACGGTAGGCATACTGGAACTTTGCATTTTACTTCTGACAGCTGAAAAATACAAGTGTGTGGATAGGAGAAAAAAAAAAAATGCTGCCGCATAAACAGGATTGCAAAAATGGACCAAACTAACACAGTAAAAACATTTAAAAGCAAAGAGAATGCAGATGAAACCTAATCCTTAACATGTCCTGCTACGCACCGATACCGGCCTAGCTTGCCAGCCAGGACAAGGACAAACGGCTTGTTCAGTTCAACTAAGTTACATGAGAAGTGTCACGTGCCTACTCTCTGCCACTTCGAAACCAAACAAAAACCACCACCACCACCACCACCCAGGCCAAAAAACAAAGTAAAACAAATGGAAAAACCCAAGGCACTAAACAAAGGTGGCCGCTTTCTCATGTCATTGACTCCAAGTTTTATCTCCTTCCAAATTTTAACTGCACTTTTTGAGGAAGACAGGCTGTATTCACGCCACCGAGGGAAAAGCTGCCCCCCAAGTATTCCAAGCAATTCGTTATTGAACTACATAATGTAGCATATATTTATACTTATAACATTACATATATTTCAACAAATTATTCAACTATCTCAAACCACCCTGGCTAAATCCCAATTACTTTCCACTGAAACACTGTGTGAGACTGATCCAGGTTTTCTAATACTTGGTATGGGGAATGTAAAGTGCAACGTGAAGTTACACACAAAGATATTCAGAAAATGTGAGATTTTACTAAATATTGAAAAAAGCTTCTTTCAAATACTTGTTTTAAAGCCTCACTCTACTTAGGGCAATATTTTATCATCAGGTTACCACTAACTGATGTTACTGTAGTCTCAAAGATAAACACAACACACGCAAAGCTAATGTAAGACTGCTTTCATGAATACTTTGACAACAGAGATTATTTTAGGCTTTTCACATAAAGCTTTTATTTATAATTTCACAAAGCTTTCAAGAAGTCTTGCACACTTATTCCCTTCAAATTTCTCTTGCATGAAGTCACAGGAAAAAACGGACTTTTCTTACACCATTCTTTTCTCGCTCGCTCTCTCTTTTTTTTTTTTTTTTTGGAAAAAAGAATTTTTTATTCAAGTCCATACATTATTTAGATAGAAATGAAGACTTTTGCATCTCTTCTGTGGTACAAAATGGCCTTAAAGAACTTAATCTGTTTGGAAGCAGGATGCAAGAAGCTGATGTGGGGAGCTCCCACCTAATGGTATAAAACCAGCCCTGCTTAGTGGTCTGTCTCCCGCGCTGTCCCTGTCATGACTTCATCAATATTTGTGCCACTCCTCCTGCCCTGTGCTGAAAGCAGACTTAATTCAATTATAGGTCTCAAAACTGATAAAAATGGTCCTGAAGTGGAAAATGCGAAGAGATTATTGGCAAATGAATAAAGATTTGTATCGAACTAACACACAAGAGTACAGCAGGTTTTTTTTTTTTTTTAATCATTCCCTGTCTTAAGTCTTCTGGGAACAGTGAGTTTCCCTTCCCCTCATGCAGCACATCGATTTCTGAATTAGACTGCAATATTAAATAATTAATATACTTGCCATGATTGATGTTTTGCATTAGTTGAATATTAGGTTATCAATCAAAATCCACTTGGTTTAATGTAATAATATTGAAAAAGTGTCACTGGCTGTTCATCCAATTTGTAGTTGAGGCAGCACAGATAGTAATATTGGTGTAACACAAGGCTCTAACGCAGGAAATGCAGTGGTTGAACATACATAAGGCAAACATTATCAAGCTAACCAGGACAAGGTTGAGGTTGTCCTAAATAAACCTTGTGGCACCTGTCACTTGCAATGAAAACCTCTTTCCAGCCAGAGCTGCCATGCATCAATCAGGCAACGACAACTAGCAAAGCTATGGCATCGTTTTATCTTTCTTGTTAAAATATATATATATATATATCTATACACAAATGAGACTCCTATTAATACTGTATTTCAAGTAGTGTTATACAAAATCAGGAACTGTGGCTACAGCTCAATCACAATGCATTCAAAGGGATTTTCAAAGCATAAACTAACCATAGATTATTACAGAATACATTAATCTTTAATACCATAAAACACTGCAAATAAAAGACAAGAGCTGTTTTATGCACATCCCATGTAATAATACCCCTATAAGGGAACACCACAAGAAAGTTATATTAATTCCATATCATTATCTGGTAATAACGTTTCACACAGGTTTACTAAAATGAGGTTCAAAGACACTGCAGTACATAGTTCCCCCCAAAATACACATTCACCTTTCAGAGTTTCCAATGTGTAACATTTATTTTTAGTTTTATTGGGCAAGTTTGGTTTTATTCCTGCATTTTTCAACGATCATGCAAGTTCTGAAGTTGTGTTTCCCCACCACAGTCAAGAATTTGTGCTGTAAAATACTAGTTGACATGCATATATTTTAAAAGCATACATGAAAAACAGTAAGCATGCCACTCATGCTAGTCCAAACATTAGCTTTTGGTAATGCTGGACAAAAACACTGCAGCAGAGCTAAATTTGAATCATGGCCATGGGGGACCTGTAACAAGCCAGGAATTCAATTAAGCAAGTGTAGCCAGCTTTAGGATTACTTAAAACCATAACGCAGGTAACTAATCAAGATAGTGCTAACTTATTAGTGCTAGTTCCCTTGCCAATAAACTAAAATCAAACAGAAATATTCACTAGTATTTTTTGAAAATTCTGATTTTTAAGCTGGACATATATTCACGTTCATAAAAGTAGGTATACGTATAAAACTAACCATTAATCAGGGGAGCTGAATAATGCAGTATCTTCAAAATATTCATACTTTAGCTATTCGAAAAGAATTTAAGATTTCCCAAATAATTTATCTTATCATAATTTTACAGCAGTTTCAGACACAGGAATTTTAGGACCAATACTTGCTTTTTGCACATCCGAGCTAAACAAATCACTCAGTACCTTTACACACAGTGCGTTGTTCTTCCACTGTGCACTGCCAGTGTCCCCTTTGTGAAACCAGGAGCCTTGGGGCCAACAGTTAAACCAGAAGGTACCAGACCTTCATCAGGTCAGGGGAGGATATCAGAAGAGAGGGAGGAAGGAGGAGGAGGGGGAGGAGGAGGAGGAGGGGGAGACAGATAAATTAGCCTCTGGGAACGAGGGAAGGAAGGACTAACAGGACATAAGTCTGGGCTGGATGCAGTTCCCTGACAAGCGGCTGGGACTGGATGAGGAAGGAGCCTGGGTACCACCAGAATAGCATGAAGTGCAGCAGAGAGAAGACAGATTTGATGGGAATGGGAGGGAGACTGGGACTGGATGGTAAAAAGCAAGCACAGCCTCACAGATGGTGGATAGGGAGAACAGGATCCAGTTTCTGGGCAACTGGAAATGGGGACAGAAGAGGGGGTAGGAAAAGGGAGGGAGATAGGTGAGAAGCTGAGATGGCAAAACTGGAAGTGGCAAGGAACTGAGGAGAAGAAATCAAAGGTGGAGAACAGGGAGCTGGAAGTGGCTGGAAAAGGGGACAGAGCACAAAACGGCAGTGGCAGCCACTGTGCAGGGTCTTGCCACCCATATCCTGCCTCCTGCAGTCATCAAAGCACTTTGGGAAAAATACAGAACTAAAACAAGCTCATACTGAAACCTCATCAAAACTCACACTCAGTTGCCAACTCAGAGATTTCCCCAAGCATTTATGAGTGCATTAAACACCACGAGCCACAAGCAGCTTGCACGTTTCCCTTTCTCCCAACCCTCATCCCATGGCTACCAACATACATGCAAAATCAACTCTACACTGCTATTTATTTTCAGTTCCTACACTGCTATATATTACGCTGCTATACATTTACAGAGCATTTTGGAATACTTATATGTTCATGTGTATCTAGTACTCTTCAATGTTTATTTGTAACAAATTCTTTGCATGTTATTAGTTTACACTGAAGCAAATTCTTGTGTAACATATGAATGAAGTCTTCTCAGAAAAAACTCACATAAACAAAGGATGATTTCTGAAGGCTAATCACAAGATGCATCTACTTCTCCATTAGGCTTGAAGACCTACTCTGATAAGAAAAAGCACAAAAGACAAGTGCCTGGCATGATATCCGGCAAAAAGACGTTCTGATCATTTACCAGGACTCTCAGTTTAGCTCTGTATCAGATGGAGAATGTTACTTCATCCACTCAGCAAAATATAACAATATATCTATTAGTAGTTTCATCTAGATTGTGATAAAATCACGACCTCCTCTTTCTTAGCAGTTAAAACAAGTATTTTTCATTTTCTTACCCCTCACCTCTCCAAATGAAGCACCTAGTTGCCACACTTTGTCCTGGTTCACCCTGTGTTATTTAAAGCACTTTGCAGCAAAGCGCCTTCAAGATGCTGCAATGTTAACATCATACTACAATGCTAGCGCTAAATTCTATGTTGTTATTATGAAGCTACCTAAAACCAAAGTCATCTCAGAGGAATACTTTATACTTATCACTAAAATAGATGATGGTGGCTAGTCCAAGTTTCTTAGTAGGTCTGTGTTAAACTCTTAAAAAAGT